GAAATTCACTACATCTGCGTGATAAATTTTAAAGTTAAAGATAGAAACTCAAAACGTCGACACAAATACTGAGGTATGTGACTAATGCAGAGATTATTAGATACTGTACGTAGCATGAAAAAAATTGCTGGCTTCACATCAATGTTGCTATGGAATGAAGGAAAAAAATATACTACATGTTTTGTCTTTGATGAAAAAAGAAAAAAAAAAAAATAAAAAAGATAGAAATAATGTTATATTGTAATTTATTTCAATACAAAATTTAATATTGCAATGTATCCAAGGTATTGTAATAGGATTTTTAATTTGCAATACCTAGCACTTAACTATGAACACAATGAGTGATTTGGCAATGTTAAAACAAACTACATTTCCTTTGCAGTAAATTCATCATCAACTTGTTCCTACTATGGATAAATTATATATGGCTCAACTAGTATTATAAACAATGAAAGTATATCCCTGAATAGAAAATAGCAAAATTTATATTTTTTTCCCTAAAAATGTATGTCTGTAACATGAATATATTTCATTCAGAATGAAAGTAATAATAAAGAAATAATCCTTGAAATATTATGTTTTTTACGTTATGTCAAAATCTTGACGCGAGCCCATTGCAGAGGTTTGAGAGAGGAACGAACGACTACTCTGCATAGGAGATTGGTAAACAGCAACCCCCCCCCCCCCGCCAAACAAACAAACAAACAAACAAAACAAAAAACATGATATAATATCTAATCATAATATTTAACCTCCTGGGGTAGTGAACTCTATAAAACATGTTTAGTAGACTTATCTATAATGCATATCATAGAAGAAATATGGAATCAAAATAATCATCCCAAATTAAACATACATGTATTAACCATTAGAGAGAATCTAGGTATGTCACTCCAGTTTGTTTACTTTGTACCCCATTGGTTTTTCTGAGTTGAAATCATGTTTTTATTTCAAAATGAAATGCCATTTCACATTCTTTTGACATATAATTCAGTCTGTCTTTAATTTGATGAAGCTTTTAAATTGGATTTGCATCTCATAAGAATCCTACAATTTATTCTCAAATACAAATCAATCAGTGTTTTGGAAAATCCTTAAGTAAAAGCAAGAGGCCACTCAATCTCATTCATAACAGTATGTCACTTCTTTTCATATCCATGCTCAATACATTTCACTCTGATTCTTATTCTTCATAATTTCAATACTTTGCCGATGCTTCATTGTGTTAGCAATGTATACCAGTTCTTCTTACTTTTACACTAATTCCAGTTCTTAACTACTGTAACATTATTTTTAAATTTGAAAATTAAATCTCTGTTACAAATATCAATTTAAATATTTTTGTTGTAGGCAACCAAGAATTCAAGTAATGTGAGAAAAACAAAATGCCAGTAATATGTCTTCAATTATGTCATAAAAATGACTCTGGCCATCCGAACCGAGCAGCATCCAATCTTATAATTATGTGTTGATACTTATAAGTGTTGTCAAATCGGACAATTTTTAGTAACCGGTTACTCGCTTACTTTTCTGATCAAGTAAACGGTTACACGGATGGATTTTTTTTAGACCTTTAAACATCCTTGCTCATGGTATGTATTCAATAATAACTGTAATATATGTAACATCATTACAATTTCCATGTTTAACATTTACATACTGGCCAATATCAAACGCAAATGCACTGTAGATGCATTTCATTTATTTATTTTTAATTACACAAAGACAAATTAAAGCTTCTAAATGAATTTGTTCTTGAATATCCTGTAATAGTTGGCAATTTTTGCAGATGTCCTAAATATAAACTTACTTTAGTTTTGTTTCTGTGTATGTTAATTTCATTTTACATATTTTACACCTTTCGAATTTAAATTCTTTTAAAACATTTCGGAATCTATGCTTTTGATGGCTGTGGAGGCATCTTGTTTAAAATTAATCCTGTACTGCGGACTAGCACAGTATAAGTGAGGTAATTATAATTAACCCAGGTTTTCTACATTGTATACTGCTTGGCAATCAAAGCCATCGATTAGATAAACTGTGAAAACTAAGTGTTATCAAAACAAATCGGTCATGTTTGTGAAACGCTAGATCAAGTCTAACGTTAAATAACGGTAAATAAAATGGTAGAGGTGTACATTCATTTCTGAACAAAATAACATTTCTTTTCTACTTTTGTCTAAATATCCGAGTAACTGAGTAGCAGTTTTACTATCTGATACTCGCATTGTTTGCTGATTAACCGGTTAACCAGGTACTCGTTGACAACACTAGTAGAAATGGTTAAAATGGCATCACACAAAATAAAGATAAATTAATTATTCAAACAACAGGGAGTAATACAGTAAAACATGCTTACAATAGCAAAGAGCTGGGGACCAAAATATTTAATTCTTTATAAACATAAACTTTCCATTTACAACACTTTTAAATCTATGGGGAAGGAAATAACTTCAATGTAAGCATATAAATTCATTTTAAGCATGTTTGCTATAACAATGTTCTGGCTGATTGATTTGAAAATTTTATAAATGGTTCTTCAATGATGTGCACAATTTAGGAGACACTGCAACAAATGGAAGCTAGACCACTGCTCCTTGATGAAAATATATCCTTGTTCGTAACCTTATTATAAATCTAGCTTAATAGTCAGACTGGGTGAAGCCTATCTTTATGAAGTATTGATACTGATGGTGGCATTACATAAAATCAAAGGCCTGAAGGCCTGAGAGACGCATCGCACTGAAGGTAGAAAACTCAAATTTTTTTACTCAGAAAAATTTGACATACATCTTGAGGGAACGAAAAAAAATCAGGAATAAAAATAAAAATTAAAAATATCATTTCTTTGAGGTTAAAAAAAGATTTTGAGTCGTGGCATTTTTTTAGTCGGTCGGAAGAGGGCAAACAAACATTTTTTTAAAGATAGTCTGATATATCAATTATAATTCATTGATATTTAAATTAATCTATAATTGATTTTAATTATACTTTTATTTTTTTTATTCTTTCATTATAAACATAGTAGAAAGATGAAATAATGAACAAGAATTTAGAAATGAATGATTATTGAATAATTCTATATAATTTCATATCTGAATTTTTTCCGTTTCTTTCATTATGAGCATTTTTTTTTTAAATATCAATACTTTGTCTTAGACTAGTTTTATCAATCAAAATGACATAATACGTAAACCATAGTGGGATACATGAAATGTTCATATAATTCGGACTGAAAAAAAAACAATCGGGAGTGGTATACGGTATACTATGAAACACGCTTCTTCCGATATTTTCGATAAAATTAACTCAAAAAGTCTTTGTTTATACGGTATTAGTAAACCTATAAATTGAAATCCACTGTCATTGCAATTTTTTATCAGATATTTTATCATACTCAACTGACATTTTTCCAAAAACCGATCATTTCACCGTTTCGTGTCACCCTTCCTCGTGGAATTTTTTTCCCAAAACAGTCTAGACGAACTCCAAAAACAGCTTTGCTTTTCCGGAAGTAAGAAATTGAGACTGAAAAAGACTTCGAAAATAGAGTCCGCGCATGCACACGCACAAAAAATAGCGATTTTTTGGCAAAAATGATGGGTCTACAAAAACTTGTAACTGTTAAAAACTTGACAGAATTTTACACATATATTAGCATTCCAGTATTTTTATTTGTGTACAACATCTGAATTGAACGCGTAAGTTCTTACCATGGTTATTTACCGATTTTTTTTTATCACATACGAACAGATATTATTATGAAATCATTTTTAAAACTATTAGCTATCAAAATGAAATCTTTAAAAACCACTCTTCTAGAAATTAAGGTCACAACATGTCTTCTAAATATAAACCTGTGAATATCTCTGCTCCGTAGTGAAAAATGCGCATTTTCTAATTAAAATACATACAAGCTGGGTGTCTTCAAAAACAAGTAAAAGCACCTAGATATCGTAGGAACAACATAAAATTTAAATCAAGGAGACAATAAATCAAATAAGAAAATAATTCTTACCGGCAGTATTCAATTCGATGTCGTATAATCCAATTTACTACTATGCAAGAGTTTGAAGCAATAAATAAGTCAATATCCACAAAATAATTTCATAAATATAATTATCCATTCAACAAAAATTTAAGTAAAGTCACAATGCACTAAATACTGCCATTATGCAGCCGTATATTTGAAGAAAGCGAACGACAATCCATCGTTTGTTTACATCGGACGCCATTTTGCCGCAATGCATGATGGAGCCAAAGACTTCGTTTTCGGAGTTCACGCCGTTTTTAGAGTTCGTCTTGACTGCGAAAGGTGGCCCTTGTTGCAAAAATTTATTCAGTTGAACATCTTACTATTCGTTTCATCAAGTGAAAAAATAAATTAATGATTTCCCTTCTATTTCTATAAAAACAACCATCTTGTTCCTACTGTTAGTGATGTTTTATAAAATAAAATTATTGTATATTTTTCTCAGATATTCGTACAAGTAATGTCGTATTACAAGGCCTAATAATTTATGGCAAGAGCTGTTGCGATGTAAATAGATCTTACTCCGCGTAGCACATGTTTGTTTGTTGTTGTTTTCTCTCTTTCTCTATTTTTGTTTTGATTTGTAATTGTTTCTTTTTTGTTATCTTTGTTGCTTTCAAAGTATAAACAACATATATATGTGAGATTTTATGTTATTTGGTATTTAAAATAGACAATGAATATCACCAACTTGTCAATATACATTTGCTCTATTTTCAATGGCGTATTTAGAATCAATATTGTGGAGTCCTTTGTCGCCGCAGTAATTGAAAAAAAGAAATGGGGGTCGACTGCAATGAGGCCACATCGCTGTTAGGGATGCGCCTCAAAAAATAGTTTGTGTCCAAAAACATGTGAATAAACATGATAAATATTAAATCCCTCTTTATGACTTTATGATATCATGAAATTAGCTTAACAGCAGACTGGGTAGTGCAACTTGTATAATTATATTTATATATATTACCTGAATTAATCTCATCATCATCATCACTGTCAAATGAATTTCCATTGAATTCCCAACTAAAAGGGTCCGATTCCACTTCCACATCTGAGCTAGCCATTTGGATGTCTAAAACATCAAAGCATTTAGATTCAACATCACCTTTTAAAAATTAAAACTGTCTTCAAACAAGAGGCCCATGGGCCACGATGCTCACTTTGGTCAAATAGGTTCAATAAAAGACTTACTTATAGACACAAAATATTACAAAAAAATTTATCAATTCAGATTCTGAGATCTTATTTTCCAGGTATAAGTCTTCTGCTAAATATGTCTTTGTGTGACATCATATTGTAACTAGGGGATTGCTCTAAAATCAGCCCCAGTATTTCCAATTTGTTTAAACATCATTTATGTTAAAAATTATACAAAAAATATTTTTTGGAAAAAATATACAAACTTAAATTTAAATACAGATCAATCTGGATTTTAACTTTTTTGCACAAAACTATAAATTAAGAGCATATAAAATTATAATCATGTAATGAAAAAATATGAAATTCAAGCAATATTATCATTCTTTCTACATCCATCCACTTTACAAAACAAAACCACAGATGTTGAGAGTAAATAAATAATATAAACTTACTTTTATAGCCTGATATAAATTTGATCTCAAAACCTTTCTGGTCAAAGCCAGCCTGGCAGTAAAAATCTGCTTCTGACGAAGGTGACATTCGTCTTCTCTGAAAATAGATGTGATCAGGGAATACATAAGCTTTAATTCATAACATACTATATAAATGGTGCCTGTTTTGGAGGGTAACAAATGAAATTGACACCCTTTTGAAAACCATTGTTAACATTTTGTTTTGTCATTGAAATGATCCCTCCTGAAATATTTTATCGACCAAATATTAGAAGATTTTTTTTAAATTTTAATCAATTCTTTGCCTGTAATCAAATGACCACCAAAACTTGTGTTGGATCTAAGGGAAAACAAGTTTCTTGGTTGACTAGTGATTCTTTTTACAAAAAAGTTAACTGTTTATTGATTTTTTTTTAAAACATATAAACATAGGTAATCAAAGATTACAAAGCTCAATGAATGGTACATGTGTTATCTATAAGTAAGGTAAATCAAGGTTGTACCAAGGTTGTACCAGGTTGTATGTTGTAAGGTTGTACCAATTTTGTGTGAGATCAATTATCAATGCAAGTTTGGTTAAAGTAGGACTTATAGTTGCATGGGAATAGACCTGCTCCAAAAACTTTAAACTTAAACTGTTTACTCATAAAGAAAATGTAGGTCAGTTCCAGCATCCATAGCATGTCTGGTAGTGTCCATCCCTAGTTTCGTCATCCATGCAAGTTTAGTCATAACATGTCATATAGTGATAGAGCTACTCCAAAGACATTACTCTGGTCACATATCTGAAAAATGTAGGTCAGATTCAGCATCAAAAGCAAGTCTTCTTGTGTCCATCTTTAGATACATCATTCCATGCTAGTTTGGTTCTGGTAAGGCTAATAATTACTCATCTGGAAAATAAAGGTTAGATCCAGCATCCAAAGCAAGTCTGGTAGTGTCCATCCCTAGGTGCATCCTCCATGCAACTTTGGTTCAGGTAGGGCTTAGTTACTTGGAAATGCATGGACTTGCTCCAAAAACTTTAACCTGGTCACTCATCTAGAAAAATTTAGGTCAGATCCAGTATCTGAAGCAAGTCTAGTATTGTCCATCCCTAGATGCATCATCCATGTAAGTTGGGTCCAGGTACGGCTTATAGTTACTTGGGAATGGACTTGCTCCTAAAACTTTAACCGGGATGCCGACACAAACGAAAATCAATAATTATGATTTGCCATCTAAATCACATGTTCAATTTCAAGTGTGATTTACAACATTTTCATAATTTTATTCGGTAAACAAATAAAAAAAATTACAAATTCATTTTTAATGGACCCAAATTATAGCTTGTATAGCCACTGTATTAGTGTAAAATGTGCACTGTGCCATTTGGCTGACCCCACAAAATGCAAGAAAGCCTGATTTTCTAGTTTGTAAGTTCATTGCAGTCTGCACTCTTGGTATTCATCATCGAAATTAAATGATATCCATGATTTATCATATAACAAGAGGCCCAAGGGCCTTAACGGTCACGTGAGTATAAAACAATAATCCATAGAAGATCCATAGAGTATAAAATAAACTGATAGAACCTTAATTTGTTGCCCAAAAGCAAGAAAAATAGGATGATCATGATCTTCGAAATAATTAGTCTAATATTCAGTAACAACTCATAAATTAAGTTCTAATCTGTCCCCCATTTAGATTTTTTTCCTATAAGTTTTATTTTCTAATATGCCCCCCCCCCTTCCCCCGAGGGTCATAATTTGAATAATCTTGAATCTACACTACTGTAAAACACTTTTTATTCACAAGAACTTTATTTTTGCGTAATTACGTGAGACAGTGTGCTCGTGAAAATTTCATTCTCACTTATCTTAGTATTCCTAAAGATTATATACAGCAAACACATTTCGTGAATATTCTGTCTCGCTAATAAGGAGTCAGTGACTATCTCGCGAAAATGAAGTGTCCCGAAAATTTAGTGATCTACAGCACCTGAAGATGTTTCTGTATTAAAATGACTAATCATGGCTTTGTTGTTCTTGAGAAGAAAATTTTTAAATGATCTTTCATATATATTCCTAACTAAAATTTGATCACCTGTTGTGTCCCCTCCCTACCCCAGGGGGTCATGATTTGAACAAATTTGAATTTACATTACCCAAGGATGCTTCCATATAAATAAGACAAATCATGGCTTTGCTATTCTTGAGAAGAAGATTGTTAAAGATTTTTCCTATGTATTCATATGTAAATCTTTGATCATAAATTGTGGCCCCACTCTATATTACCTGAGGATGCTTCCATGTAAATATAACCAATCATGGCTTTGCTGTTCTTGAGAAAATAATTTTTTCAAGATTTTTCCTACGTATTCCAATGTAAAAATTTCATTGTTCATTATGGCCCCACCCTCCCCGGGGATCATCATTTTAAGAAATTTGAATCTACACTACCTGAAGATGTTTCTACATCAGTTTCATCTTTCTTGGCCCAGTGGTTCTGGAGAAGATTTTTCCAATGTATTCCCATGTAAAACTTTGATCTCCCATTGTGACCCGCCCTGCCCCCGGCAGGGGTGTGCAATTACCATTGCCCAACGCTCAGGGCTACCAATTTTAGAGGTTGGGCTATCATAAATCTATACTGCATTAGCCTGTCGGGCTAGTAAATCTGAAACGAAAGTATATGTATATTTACATCGACTGAATTGATGTACGAATTAACTTGTTGTAAAATCATAATCTTTAATTCTTTTCAACATATATGTATTGTGTGTTGCTATCGCCAGTCGTTTCAGTGACTGTCACAATTATATTCAATAAAAATAGGGAGAAGTACCTGACAATAACATAGTGGAAACCATTATTTGTTTTATTTATTTCAACTTAATTTTTTTTTTTTTACCTTTTTGTTATACTTATACATGTATTGTTTTCGGTAGTTAATGGGCTAGTGATGATTGTCAACCTCAAGCTAGTAACTTTGTTACTTCCACTAGCCCAGGCTAGTAACTAATTTTTGTAATTGCACACCCCTGCCCAGGGGTCATGATTTGAACAAACTTGAATCTACACTACCTGGGGATGTTTCCACGTAAGTTTTATCTTTCCTGGCCCAGTGGTTCTGGAGAAGAAGATTTTTAAAGATTTTTCCTATGTATTCCTATAATGTAAAACTTTGTTCGTCCATTGTGGCCCCACCCTACCCCTGGGAGTTATGATTTTAACAAACTTGAGTCTACACTACCTGAGGATGTTTCCACATAAGTTTCATCTTACCTGGTCCAGTGGTTCTTGAGAAGAAGATTTTTAAAAGATGCCATTAATTTTTCACTAATTCTTAGTTATCTCCCCTTGGAAGACGGTGTGGCGCCGCTTCATTTGAACAAACTTGAATTACCTTTACCCAAGGATACTTTGTTGCAAGTTTGGTTGAAATTGGCCCGGTGGTTCTTGAGAAGAAGTTGAAAATGTAAAAAGTTTACGCAAGACACACACCCGCACGACGACGGATGAAAACAGATACATGTAGCAATAGGTCACCTGAGTGACTCAGGTGACCTAATAAAATCAGAGCCACCAATCAACATATTGACATCCACTGGCTAAGCAACAAACTTTTCCTCTGATGTGGTTCCTAACTCCAAAATATCAAGTCATTTTGCATGGCTGCACCACAGATTTATGAAATTGATGCATATGGAAAATATTACCTTAGGCCATTCCAAGTTTTTTCTATGTTTAGCATCCACCCATCTTTCAAATACTTCCCTACCTATTCGCAAAAAACACACAAACCAAAAAGTAAAACACAAGTCATTATAGCCATAAAAATGATGTCATTCAAAGAATATGATTCCATTAATCTATTTTTCTCGTAGAAATATTTATTCTTCAGCAAAATCAAGGTATTAAATGCTTAAAATATTCCAAATATGGCATATTGTAGACAAATACTTAGAGAAATTGACAGAATTCAGTGAATCGACCAGAATAAACAATTTCAGGACTCCTGATTTTGTTTGTTTGTTTGTTTTTTTTTTTAAGGGATGTCAAAAAATCCAAGGCACACGCGGACGCTAAACATTGAAAAAACTTGGAATGGCCTTAAATGTACAATGAAATACCATACTAACAAATTCTAATTAATTATCTAGGCTCGCTCTTTGATCTCTAAAAGTTGGCATTAAAAAATGATTTTGGTTTAAATATATTTTATTCTAAATACTTGCTGTAATAGATGACAAATCTCCATGAAGTTCTAAAAACAGAAAATTTATTTCCACATATCTGTTATCAAGGTGGCAGGGGATAATTTTTCTTTTCAATGCCAAACATGTGCCGAGGGGGTAGGCATATGCATGAGGTCAATAAAAACAGATCATAGTTTGGGGCAGTTTTTTGGGTGCTAATTAATTGCACTTCATATATCTATAGCTCAAAAAATGTGTCAACGTATAACATGTAACCTACATATTAAAGTGCACATGTACCGAAAATGCACTTGGAGGTCTCCAAAGATTTTGGCTTGTTTTTCCAAGATTTGGGCTGCTGTCGCACCTATACAGCCCATCCCATTCCCGAGCGAGCAGGATAAAACACCCAGTATTCTGTAGAACAATGCATGCCCTAATGAAAATTCACCAATTGATCTGGGGCCATTCACCTTCCCTCTGAGATGCACACCACGGCTTTTCAGCTGAATTTCCTCTGTGACTGACCAAATGTCTTAGTTTTGCATTTACAACTCTATATATGCTAAGCATCAGAGTGACACCTACATGATGCACATCATTTTTCTCAGCAAGCTCTGCTACACTGCACATGTACATGTATCCCATAATTATTCTATTCATTTTTCTACATAAAATATCACATCAATCAGGGGATATCTCAGTTTTTAAAGAAATTTGACAGCGCGTACTAATCTATAGTATGAAACTATCCCCTGCCACCCAATGTCATATGGCCATAGTCAAGTCGTACCCAAGGCAATTCAAATCTTAACATGTTAACATACAAACATATTATGGTTTTGAGTTGACACAGATAAATGCTGTTTTTATTCTCACGGATCAAAAAGTTCCTTGATAAAATGGTTTGCTTAACGGATAAAAGTTATGTAATTGATCCTAAAAGTTTCCTTTTATTATATTTTGCTAGTTGTAAAGGGGTATATAATAAATTTATCATTATAACAGTAACTTGATCCTGAGACCCGTATTACGTCTCGTTCACAGGCGCGGATCATCAGATCAAACTCATTTGATCTGATGATCCGTGCATGTCAACTTGACATGATACGGCTCTTCGGATCAAGTTACTATTATAATTATATATGTATATATATAAACTGGCCTCTGTTCTTCTTTCAGAAAATATCATAGGCTCAATTTCGTTGAGTCAATAATTTGGAATATCCCATGATTATCTCTTAATTTGAATCACTTAAACATGTTAAATCAACACATGCCCCTGATCGGCCGAGAATTGCAAAATTTGGTGGTAATTTGCTTTACATTTAGATTATTTTACAACGTATACTTTAAAATTTATTAAATATCCATTCCAATAAACAAAAAGAACAGATTACATTTATCGGAAAACAAATTTTTTACTGAGAATAAACATAGTTTGAAAAACTTGTAGTGTTTTGGGCGAGTAAACATGGTACTGAAGGAGATGCCTATCCCGTTAGTATATAGATCCCTGACTTAATGCATAGAATAATGATTATACGTTAAAAAAGTGTGTTATAAAATTTGCATTGTCTGTTTATGATACGGAATACAACAGATCTAGGGCCTATAAGTCAAAAAATTTATTTGTTTATTCATTTGAAAATTTTGTTACAATTCCAGGAAATGCAGACATGGCTCTTCTTTATAGTAAAATTCTGCGCCAGATTTTCATTTTGCTCAGTAAAAGTTCACTTCAATTATAATGCCCTGTTCACACGGAGAGTTTAATTCGAATTAAACATAAGTTACTGCGAATTAAATTTGAATCGCATTCGCACAGGGAATTTAATGCGAATTAGTTTAATTCAAATTAATTAACTGCACATTAAATTACTTCGCATTAGCTCCGTGTGAACGCTAGGCGAAGCTAATTCGAATTAAATTTTGACGCATGCGTAATGGCACAATTAAGTCACATGCCACATGTCTGTGGACAGATATGGATACTTATGCTATTTTTTAGTGGAAAACAAAGTAAAATTATGTTAATCACTGAAATGTGCATAGAGACTATGACAGAATGTAATATGGGTTTGCTGCGCATAAGGCAACGTGATTTGAAAATGACATCATAATAGCCTTACTGAATAGCCTTACCGTAGAAATAAAATTTTAATTCCCATTAGTTTACTTCGCATAAGCTGTAGTGTGAACACAATTTAATTTGCATTATTTTAATTCACATTATTTACTTCGCATTAATTTACTGCGAATTAAACTCTCCGTGTGAACAGGGCATAACAATTTAATGCATGTTACTGTCAATCAAAAATTGTTTTAATCAGTAAATCATGATGCAAAAACTAACATAACTTGCAGAAGTCAGCATAAACAACTTCACTAGCGATTCAAGATCCCATTCAAAAAACATTGGTAATGTAATGCAATATCATGCACTCAAGTGTATAATATATAATTTTCTTATCGGTATTGTAAAACAATTGATACCCCATATGAGTTCCACATGGTGAAAAGAAGGACCCTTGACATGACCGACTTGCTAACCATACATGACCTCGGCCACTACGTGGCCTTGGTCAGGTTAATTAGAATAATCTAACTGTGTCTTGGGACAGGCCCTCACTACAGTTAGAATCCCTCCCATATACCAATAATATAGCAGAAAATTGCAGAATCGCTCCGAAATGATTTTGGAGAAAATTAATGAAGTTGCATTGAAAATAACAGTCAAATTAATCATAAAAAACCTTTTGAGACTGTAAATACCTTTCATCTAAAAATTTAATCCATATAATGGAAGAATTCAACACTTTTTCACCAACATTTTTTACTCGTTTCAAATTTACACAAGATGTTGACATTCAGAACTCTCGGGATATTTCATAGTAAATGCACAAAGTTAGAGTTATCTCCCGTATTTTCTTTGCTACATGGACAATACACGGAATGCATTCTATCGTTAAACAGGGTCCGTAGGACATTTATCATTTTAATGATAGAACATTCTATCTATGGTCAGGTCAGTTCACCTCGTAGACCAAGTCTTGGGTCCGTATTTCACCATGTTGACCTCAGAAGAGGTAATAAATTGTTAATATTGTTAAGTTATGAGTTGTCATCAATTTATATAGGGGAGTCAGCTTGTAACAATTCTCCTGGTTACGAGTTGAATTTTGTCGTTTCATTAATATGAGTTGACCTATTGGGTTTGATCTGATCTACTCAACATGCTAGAGGTTCACGGCGATATACTTTTGACTTGGCGCTCCGAGGTATATAAGGAGCGTAGGGACGTTTAACCGAGGCTCTTACTTGTAGGAGGAGATCTGACCTAGATACGATCATACGAGGCTGGTTACGAGTTGACCAAAAACCCTTAAACAGACACTGTAACTTTTCTGTGTTTCCCAATCCCAAACAAGGATAGACTGTAATGCAGGCCCAACTGTGTTCATTGTACGTGTATAAAAAATGAATAAAACGGGCACTATAAAGATTATCGTTCCGAAAAATTGACACATACAACAGACCTAGTTCGAATTTTCTCAACTAAGTGACAACTTTCCAAAGTTCACAGTACATACGATGAACTTCAAGCATCTTCTAAATTTCCATCTTCAAAAGTAACAAGAGAAGATTTTTATACTTTAAAGCTTACAAATACTTACAAAACTGTCTTTCATACGCAATGCAGTCTCAGTGATCAGTTCATGTTCATGTTGTAGGGTGTTACCTTCGCTTAACTGGTTCTTGTGAACTTCCGGTAACCAGCACATTTCTGAAAAGTGAAAATCTTGTAATATGCAGGCAATATTTATGACTTTTAGAGTGGGACAGTTGCAAAGTATGATGGCAAAGGTACTTATTTTGGCCATTTTAGGGTGGGACAAGTCATTTTAACAACAAAAGACCCTACATACATAATCTATATAACTCAGTAACTGTAGGGCAGTGGCGGATCCAGAAGGGTGTCTAAAGATTAAGGGCCTGGGACACAAATCATAAATGCAATATTTAGCAACAACAAAATAAAAATTTCTTAATCTTTATACGAATAATTTTGGTTATAACAGGGGAGTTGGCGCCCCCCCTCCCCCGAACCCCCTCCTAATAAAGGTCCCTGATTTTATTATGAATTGAGAAAAGACTCATGAATACATGTAGTTATTCAAATACATGAAATAAACCCTCAAATCACAGGTTCCTCCTAGTTTTTGGACAATTTAGACCTGGCCTTCAGTGCAAAACTGTCAAATTAATCAATATAATCAAATTATCAGGAAATTAATTAATCAATTTAGATTTAGAAAGTATGCTACATTTAAGATTTAGACAGTATGTTAGAAGCATATAATATACTTTTAGTCAAGAGTGTACAGGGATTTACCCTGGATTGTATTCCATACACCTTGAGGCTGAATCAAGGGTGTAGGGGATTTACTCTGTGTTGTATTCCATACATGTGTGCAGAAGGCCCCAGTGCTTTTTTACTATGCCTTGTGACATCACAATATTTTACCTTCAGCTCAAGCTGTACATAGTACATGTATACTAAATTACACCAGCTGGCTTGCTATACAAACAAATCTTGTATTACAAGTTAGCTTGCTGCTTCAGCCTCTGAGGATGTATAGAATACAATTTACCAGAGGAAAATCTCTTTACATCCTTGATTGAATTGCAGTGGATATATCCCTGCTAGAATTACAAGAAAAACAATCCAATGCATGTCATATTTCCTTAGAAATAAAAAATGTCATGGTCAAGTAAGATTTTATACAACTTTCAAACATTTTCAGGTTGCATGATATCCAAAATCATGCACTTTTAAAATTCCCAAAATTATTTCATTTAGAAAAGGAAATCACCAAATATTTTGCAACTGAATGGAGTCTGTACCCTTCAAGTAGTAGCCATCTATATCACAACCTCAACATGGCTGATGAAGGAGAAATTTAAAGGTCATATTATATTGTATATATGTACAGGGGTATTTATGAACTTTAATTTACTTTGATTTAATTTTCATACAAAATGAGGACGGGAAATATATTCTTTCACTGCAGTGGAAGGTATGAGACCAATTTATTTAAGACTTTATAAATCTATGTTTATGCACTGGTCCCACTCTGGTGAATAATATTGCCTAGTCTCTTATTCATGGATAATAAATTTGTGGAAATTTGAATGTAATTGATATTGCAATTCAAATTATCCTAGTAATTAAGAATACGAAGCCAAATATACTTATTAAGCAGATGTTGCATTATTTTGTATGCTTTCTGTGGTTCATGACATTATGCTGAAAATTCTTTCCAAAAAATATTTACTTGTACATACGTATGTTTATCTAGAGTGTTCCAAGAAAAAACATGTGTTGCCTGCTATATAGGCTCATAAAAGTTGCAAATAAATCTAAGGATGGTCAGGTATTTGCTGTACAGTGCATAAAAAAATCCACAAATAGGAAGGCTCTGATAGAAATTGACAATATAATAGAAAATGTTGAATATGATTCCCCTATCCTCAAAACTAAACAAAATAATATTACAATTAAATCAGAAATAATTATAATTTAATGCATGTTTCCAACAATCCTCTGAAAGTCTGACTATCCCTATGATATTGACTTTACTACACTTGGATTTAACATTCAGCTGATTTTCAAAGGAAATACTTAGTATTCAAGATATCTTTATCAAAATTCACACAATGATATATTGTGAGAACTATTCAAATGTGTCCATTTTTTTTTTACCTTGACTTAGCTTTTTCATTTTGCATTTTGTTCAGTTTTAAAGGAACTTTTTTTTTTTTATCCAAATACACATACAGTGTACTATCACATGTTGGTAAGAAGTATTCAAATGTGTCCTGAATTTTTTATTGTGACCCCTATGATATTGACCCAACTATTTCAATCTGCATTTAGCTCAATTTCAAAGAAATTATTCAAGATATTTTTATCTATACACATATATGAGATAAACTATGTCAATTTTTTTTATCTTGATCTTCCCTTTGACCTTGACCTCGCTATTCCTTATTTTGCATGTAGCTTAGTCTTAAAAAAATCTTTTTATTTATTTTTATCTATGCACTTGCACTGACACATATTGGTGATAACATTTCAACTGTGTCCAAATTATGACCTGTTCCTTTTGTTAATCATTAATCTTACTATTTATTTTAGTTACAGCTCTTTTTTTTTAAAGAAAGTATTCATAATATTTCTATCAAACGTACAATAACACAAAATTGGTGAGAGTTATTCAACTGTGTCATAATACTTCAAACCTTTATAAAGTTTCCTTTGACCTTGACCTCATCATTCCTCCTTTACTCTGATTTTGAACCATAGAAGCCTGATGCTTTTTTCCTTGTTTCATCAAAACTTATCCTGGGTAAGGCATTCATGTCCTGTTATAGATTTTAATTTCTTTTAATGAAGGTTGTTATCTAGAACACTGATATCTCAAATACAGGGATACATGTATGTCGAAGTGAGTTGGCACTCCCTAAAAATCTTTTTTTCAGCATTCTTCATGTTTTTAACCCTTGTCATTTCCAATCTTTCTGCGAAAATTTCAAATTGTTATTAAAAAAAATGAATAGCAATGTTTATGCCTTTATAAAAAAAATTTGAACAAAATAAAAACAAAATTTTACCTATCAACCCTATTTTTTATTAGCAAGTAATGGTACATGTATACAAGCATGTTTTTTTCCTTAGGCCTGATGTCTTATAGATTTCATTCCAGTTAATAAATCTTGTTGATCGATTGATTGTTTGTTGTTTAATGTCCCTCTTGAGAATTTTTCATTCATATAGAGATGCTACCACTTGCTGGTGTTGGGCTACAAATGTTGACCTATACTCGGCACTCAGGGCCAGTGAGGGATATTTTTCGAGCCAGCACTTACTGTGAAAAGGGACCTTTGTTTATACAGTCTCATCCAAAGGACCGGTCTCCACGACCCGCAGTGGGATTCGAACCTGCGACGTAAGGATCAACTCCTTACTCCGCGACTCTAGAGCAGACACCCTAACCACTGCGTCATGCAGGCGACAAGAAATCTTATTAAAAAGTCTAATAAACTGTAGCTCTGTACATTGTATTTACCCTAAAATGTGCGAATTCAATGCATCACCAAACTCGATAAATCATGATATCTGTATAACAACATATTGCTGTTTCCTAATTAATGAGAATTAGTTTGTGTATATATATAGTGCAAACATATAGTGCATATGCATAATGTATATGCATATAAACATATCAAGTTTTCAAGCAATAATTACTTAAGTTGAACTTCAGTATCCATGACACTGATATATTGAATATCATGGATATGTTGAAAGGGATTTTGAAGTCCCAAACCCTTATTCTTTGGGTATTTTGCCCTGGATATCTTGAATCCTTAGATATCAAGGTTTGACTGTATTTAAAATTTTTGGAGTTTCATTGTTATTCTGCTAACCCAGTTAAGCAGGTATTACTATTTCAATCTATACTATATGTCTTGTTAATTCCTAACCCATACTAATTATCAGACTAGTAATCAATGACTTCCTTAAGTAAGTTGTGACTTATTGACCACTTTCAGGTACATATAAAGTGGCAGATTCAGGAACCCCCCCCCCCCCCCACTCCAAGATATTTTTTTTAAATTGTCATTTTTACAACATATTGCATAAATGAGATTGTCTCTTTGCTATATCCAAACACATTGTTCTGTATTGTATTATATGTATTTAAAAACCCAAACATTTACTTATTGTAGTACTCTTAGATAGATTAAAGGCCGACTGAGTCATGATTTTTAATATTATACTTTCATGTAAATTAGTTGAATCTGATTCATCAAGAAACATTTGTTAAAAACACTATTACCCGCTGAATAATGAAGCCACACCCTCCAGGATAGCAACAGTCGACATTGCTTGACTACAGGTGATATTCCAAAAAAATATTGACTCTGCAGAATTTATGCGCGCAAGGTTCACTGTAATGTGATTGTTTGTTTGTTTGTATGTTGTTTAATGTCCCTCTTGAGAATTTTTCACTCATATGGAGACGCCACCACTTGCCGGTGGAGAGCTGCAAATTTTGTCCTATACTCTGCACTTACGGCCATTGAGCAGTGAGGGATCTTTTTTGTGCCAGCACCTACTGCGACACGGGACCTCGATTTATACGGTCTCATCCAATGGACCGGTCTCCACGTCCCACAGTGGGATTCAAATCCACGACGTAAGGATCAACTCCTTACTTCGCGAATCTAGAGCAGGCGCTCTAACCACTGCGCCACGTGGGCGACTCACTGTACTGTGTATTTGTATAAAACATTCAGTATGATATGAAAAATACTTCATGTAGTTGCAATTGAGGGTAACATTGAAAATTTTCACCCCAAGAAAACCATTGTCAACCTCGGCTGTGCATCGGTTGACAATGGTTTTCTAAGGCTGAAAATTTTCAATGTTGCCATGGTTGCACTCAACTACATGCAGTATTTATATAATACAATCTCAAACTTTATATTACTGAGAAAGAACTTCAAGATATCCAAGGATTCAGGATATCGAGCCTCGGTTGACAATGGTTTTCTTGGGGTGAAAATTTTCAATGTTACACTCAACTTCATGCAGTATTTATTATTTTATGCTGAATGTTTTTGCGAATACATATAATAGTGAACCTTGCATGCATAAATTCTGCGCAGTCACTATTTTTGGAATATCACCCGTCATGAAGCATTGTTGACTGTTGCTATGCCGGAGGGCATGACTTCATCATTCGGTGGGTAATAGTGTTTTTTAACAAATGTTTCTCGGCAAATCGGATTCAACTATATAGCAGCAGAAATAATCTGAAAACTGAAAGCCAACCAAAATGTTAGTCTAAAAATGTTGATTTATTTTGCTCCCATCCTTTTGCATAAAAAAGCTTGAAAATTCTTTCCATTTAACTCACATTTATCTTTTTTAATTACTAATAGTA